AACTAATTTTTTTTTTTAAAGAAAGGTATGCAAAGAAAGAAAATTGTAAATAGTTGATTCATTTTTTTTCTGGGAAACTTGTTTAAAAAGTATATAATTATTCCCTACATATTTCTGTCTGATATGTTTATTATACAGTTACAGTTTATGAGGGAATTTGAATCATATCAGTGTAAGTCTGGCCCACAGTGAAGGTGATATGTGACAAAAATTATTTCATTGTGAAACCCAGATCTTTGATAGATCATCTGACCTTATAAGCCTGGTTGTAAATACTTTTATTTTAAGGAACTATATTTAGTTCAGGCATGTGAAAAATAGAATATATTTTTAAAATCCTTTGCAAAACTTTTGTTCTTGGCCACAAGATGCATGTCTGTAGATGGAAAGACAGAAAATAAAATACAGCATAAAGAGCTATAGAGTTTTTAAAATCTCTCATGATAATAAAAACATCGATTAATAAATGAAGATCATGGATGGTCCTTAGCAAAACTATTAAGAGTTTTTCTTACAAAGTTCCTGTGCTCTTAACTTGTTTTTTAGTTCCTCCACATGACTCTCCTAAACCAAATGCATCCAGGATCCTCAAAAGAGCATTCTACAAGCTAAATCACAATGTGCTCTTCCCCCACAAGCATGCAGTTTTTAAAGAGACATACATAAGGAGAGTAATGCTCAGCCCAAGGGAAGGAATTTTTGCTGGTGAAACTTTAGGCTTTATGACCCTTGGGTCAAGAAGCTATTTTTGGGTACTGAGGCCTGGCCGTCATTTCATTTTACCCTATAAGTAACTATATGCCTATAAATATTGGCTGACTTATGGACGGTAATTCTGCACAACTCTCCCCTCCAGTTATACTCCCATAGGTTAAAAAATTTAAGAAATATTTGACTATGAAAGAAAATAAAATATAAATTTAAAATTTCACACTAGAAAAAGTATATGATCTTTTCCATTATTACTGAAGATTTCAGGTCTTTTAAATGTAATTAAACTTGATGGAAGTTGGTGGTTAGAACAAGAGTTAAAGGCTGATCACTAGGAAGAAAGAGATCACAACTCTGAGGAGAGGGAAAGGATGGAGGTGCCAGTGGGAAGAGATAGGCATGAAGGGTCATACTTTTCTATGACACTGGTAAGCTCTGGATACTGGGTTGGGATAAGAAATTTTGATCTACGGCTTAAAGCAGATCAGAGCACATCTGAAATTTTCCTGTGTATTCCTAACCCTAACTGTTTTTACTTTGCTCTGTCATTCTATCACACTATTAAATTGTTCAAGTTCATCTGTTCATAAACATTTACAGAGTGCCTACTTTACTGGAGGCATCTATGCAAGTATTTGGAGGACATGGGAATTAAAAGGTGAGTAAAACACCGTCCATGTCTTGGGAAAGCTCAGTGATGGGTAATTTTGCAGGGAGTAGAGTAGATAGGAAACAGATATACAAAACAATGATAATACCTAGATGATTAAGGCCTCTAATAAAGGTATGGACTAAGTACTACAAACACAATAAAGAACGAAAAAATGGAGAAACATCGTAGGGGTAACATTTAGACTGAACTTTAGTGAGTAACAAAAACCTGACCATGTACTAAAAGGGAGAAACATATTCTAAAAAGAAGAAATAGCATGTGCAGGGGTTGTGGGAGGAAATAATACTAGAAAAATGAGAGAAGGCTAGTGAAAGACCTCATATCATGTTACGTTAGTTATACTTTAACTTGTAGGGGAGAAAGAGCCCCTGAAAAATTTTAAATAGAGAAGTAATATAACCTGATTGATGTTTCAGAAAAAACTCTGGTGGCAGTGAGAAAGATAAACTTGAGAGACTTACAGGCAGGTAAACGAGTTTTATGATTATTTCAGTAGTCTAGATGAGGTGATAATGAGGGCCTGAATTAATGTAATTAACAAGTGAGGACCAAGGGGAGGGAAGCAGGAGATGCTTAGGCAGTAGGCAAAACAGACTGATGGCAAAGTGAATGCAAATGGTAAGAAAGTGAGGGCACAAGAACAGTGCTGAAATTGCTGAAGACCATTAGCTGAGACAGGAAATAAGGAGCATGGAGAGGGCTTTATTTTCTGGGGAGTAATTTTCAACAAAAATACGAGGACAACACACAGTAGAGAGTGATTTAACTTTCTAGGAAGTTGGAGAAGACTTTGTAGAGAAGAGGAGATTGAACTCGTCTTGCTAGTCTGATAAATATGATGATACTAATAATACACTTTATAGAATGCTTACAATAAAGTGGCATAGAGGTAGGCATTTTAGTGCTATCTAGTTTATTTCTCACACCAAGCCTGCCTGTGGAGCATTATTGGCCGAATTTTTTAACTGAGGAACTTTTGCTTCCAAGGGTTATGTTATTTGCCCCAAATCTCACAGGAAATAAGTAGGAAAGCAGGGATTCAAACACAAGTCTGTCTGACTAGATTGCAAAGCCTGTCTCTATCCTCCGTGCTGCACTGATTCTCACAGGATGAATAAATTTCTCATGGGGGAAAAGGACAAAAGGCTCCAAGTAGAGGTTACCGACATATATAAAGGCATTCAGTCTTGAAAAGGCAGAGCCCTTCTAAAGAAGGGGACAGTGTAGAGCGGAGTGGAATGACAAGAGAAGGAGGGACTATGCAACACGTATTGTTCTAAAAGCATTATATGTATTATCTCATCTAATTCTTGTAACATTATGAGATTGGAATATTATTGTCCACATCAGCACAATGTTTGGAAATAGAATGTCCAAGTTTGCATATCTATGCATTCTGAATCAGAAGCATGCATTTTTAAACTACTATGCTATATATGAGCATCTTTACTTACTATTTTTTTTACCATGATCATATATTAGTTTTATAATAAAAATATAATTAGAAATGGGCCATGGAATTTAACAGTTAGGAAATTATTGGTAATCTTATGAACAACAACTTCAGTATAAGAGCTAGTAGCAGAGCAGTAAATGGGAACTGAAAAATTCAAGATACTTAATATAGCTCAGTTATTAAAGAAATTTGATTGTGAAGGAGAAAGGGAAAATGTGGACATTTTTAGTTTTAATTGTAAGTATTGCCTGGAACACTAACATATTTACAAAGAACTTTCAAAAATAATTGCTAATAATAGAAATTTCAGATTAGACAATGCTAATACCACCTAACTAAGTATTACAAATTGGTTTCCTTGAAGGGTATCCTCTAAAACCCAGTAAAACAGGCTGATGTCCATGTTCATTGCCATGAAGATATACGACCCAACTGAGGGCAATTAAAAATGAAAGACAGTGGATTGAATACGAAAAGAAAAGCCTAATAATATTTCACCTATTGTGGAAATCAGAATAAAAGATTTAACACTTAAACTAAAATCTAACATTTAACTCTTGTGAGTGACACAACTATTGCACTTTAACTGTGTTCATGAACTGGTGCCATTCCATTGAAAAGTTTTGATCTGTGTGGTTAAATATAAATAATAAGAACAATACAGTAAATTTTTCAAAAGTTTAAACTTACTGAATTTAAAGCACTATCTGAGATGATGTTATTTCTGTTTCTTGGTATACAAACTTATTTCTTTTACAAAATGATAATGGTAATTAATGAGATCTAAAAAATAAAAGGTTAAAGACATTTCCAAAATTTTTTTAGAAATCTAATTGCTCTCTGGGAAACCCTGTTGTAGGGAATTTTAGCTATGTATAAAAATTAAAGGTTACATGTAAAGGATTACATACACAAAAATGTAAAAACAATTAAACTTGAAATTTGTAATTATTTGTAGACTTTAAGCAAACAGAGCTAAATCAGATCCTGACTGTCAAAAGTTACTGATTTATAATTTAACATGAAATGAGATCTACCTATGTATCTTGGTGTTCTTAGAATATTAACGTACATTGTGAATAACTGGATACAGTTTCTGGCTGAATATAAAACTAATCTTTAAATCTACAAAAAATATAATCCCATATATCACAAGTTTCAAAGTACACTGATAATAAAGATTAATATGCATAATTCCTATCTGTTTTAAAACGGTCTTGATTGCAGATTTACCTGACTTTCGACTATTACTTAAACTATAATTTCAGGGATGGGGAAATGGTGGAGATGACTTATTTTCAAATAAAAAATAGTGAGAAATAAGAAACCTTGCAGTTAGCATTACTTCTTCATGCTGTGAAACTGAAAAAGAAAAAAAAAGCTAAGGAAAAAGGTACGTCTTAGAAATTGAAGGTGATCAAGTATGTGAATGATGTAATGCTGTTAACAATACACAAAGAAGAGCTCAGTTAAAATGATGAGCTTTATTGCATTAAAGCTGCTTTAGAAAATTCTGCTACAATGTTCAAGTCCCATGGATGAATGTGAAGTGACTCCTTTGCCTGTTGCTTGTTAACATTTTGCTGGCTATCATCAAGACTGACTGATTATGCAGCTTTATTTAAATTTTAATAAAAATGCAAAGATCACTGAAAATAAACAAATATAATTATGCACTGTGGAAAGCTGTACTGAATACTTCAAAAGAACAACACAGGAAAATTAATTTCACTGTACCACGTTCTATGTACCTAGAGATCTCAGATTACAAGGTCACAGATGATCTCAACTCAAGCAGGATTATGGTGAAGCTAAATGCGTTAGGTTGGTAACCTGACTGCCTTTTCCCTTGCTCATAACTGTATCTAGTACCTACTAAATGATTTTCATAGCATGGCCTTCAGGAACTCATAGAGACCAGTTATTAAATAAATGGTTTGCTCTAAACAGTAGCTTTACTTTACATTCCCAAGTAAATGGCTTTTTGACCTCAAATATGGACATGTAGGCAGTCTAAAAAAGTTCATCTGGCTCAGTGTACTTTTGTCTTAAACTATTAGCAGCATGAATAATAAACGATCTATGACTGAGTTGTCAAAAGAATGTTTTTGTTTTCGTTTGTTTCATGCTTTGGAAACAATGCAAGGTCATTTTACTCACTTCTGCACTTTGTCCCTGGCCGCCTGGGAGGCCTCGACGGCGCGCTGCAGCTCTAATTCCATGTTTGCCCGCTCCGTCAGGGCCTGCTGCAGTTGGGCGGCCAGCTCTTCATTTTGTTGTTGAGTGATGGAAACAATGTTCTCTCTGCTCTTTAAAGCTTCTTCATAGGTACTGAGGGTATGGTTAAACTGATCCTTCAGGTTTTCTTCTTGGGATAAAGATTTGTGTAAACTGGGGAAATACAAAAACAAGTTATTTAAACATAAATCTGTACGCTGACTGACTGATAATCCACTTAACGAAAATCTCCAGTTAGAAATATACGTTACGAAAAATCAATAAAGACATACTTAGATGGTTAAATGAAAATAATTTTGACATCACAATCTTATACATGACAATTATCCCATTCCTCTAGTTCCAGGCTGAAGCCTACCCAAACAAATGATTACCTATGCTTCCAAGGCATGCAGAAAGATGCTGCAAGATGTTAATTTAATTATATCAGTGTAAATATTACATTCAATGTTCTTTAAAAGGAACAGAAGAGAACTGAAAAGTAAAGTATCTCTAGATAAATAAGAGAATATAATAAGGTGACTGCAAAGAAGTGAGAAGAGAATGAGCGTCATCAGTTTAGGAGATCTGGGGTCTACTGAGCTGAGCACTTAATGAGAATGAATGAGGTTTGTACAAATACCAATCACCCTTACACAAAGCATTTTCTACTTGTCATAGTTGAGATATAAATAAAGTTAAAATCACCAGACTGCACAGCAATAATATGTATTGAGACATATTTTCTTTTTGTTAATGAACCTTATGCCAAACACATCCACTCATTAAGTCATACAGAGAAATAGCATATAAATTAAGACTAAATGAATGCAGAAGAAAATGCAGACAAATAGAATCCTAAAATGCTAAAGGTCAAATCTTTGATATGTCATTACACCTACCACCTGAGGTTATTTTGAAATGGCACCAAGCACCTCACTCAATTAAATAAAGACATTTTGAAAATATAAATATTTAATAAGGGAAATTTGAAATCCACTCAGGAGATGTTCTTTTTTTATTAAATAAAGTCGTGTCAGTATATGCATACAAAAGAAATGTCGATGGGATATTTGAAGTAAAACAACCTAACTATATAATACAGATTGATAATGTGAAAGAAAAATAATATAACTCTTAAAGATGCAAAAAGCTAGGCAGGGAACTTTAGCACTGGCTGAATACCTAGTTTGATACTTTATTTAAAACTGTTCAAACTAATTATAAATTTCTTCTTTTTGTTTAAGTAACCTACAAGCCTCTCCAGTGTGCTCACTTTGGAGAAGGTGTCACGCAGAAATCAGATAGATGAAACAGCGACAGTTAGCATGCCAAAGGTAATCATTCCAGGATTCAAATTAGTTCTTAGGAAGAAAGAGTGCTGCTAAATGGTGGTGAATTTATTACTCTGTATAAACTGAGAATGGCGTATAGTGCTACATCTGAAGAGTGTAAAAAAGTGTCTTTCTTTGTAGGTTTCACATTATTTAGCTAACTCTTACTTCATTTCTTTTCAGTATTTTTTCTATCAACCCAGATGTCTAAAGACACCTGTCTCCTGCCCATTTTCCTATTCTTTATGTCCTTTCACACTTTCTGCATCCCTCCTCTTCCAACTTAGAATTTCCTTCAGTGCAACCTCTTGGTCTATTTGAAAGATTCAAGAAAGAAAGAAAAACTAAAAATAAAAAAACCTTTCAAAAGACAAGTCTGTTCTTACCTTTAAAACATTATTAACTTACATTTTTTAAACTATATTTTAAATTATAAAAGTACACAAATTCAAAGTACTTGGCTTGACAAAATGTAAAGAACAAAATACAGAACAAACCCAGAAGGCTTCCAGTGTTTCCTGCATGTTGATTCCCTTCCCCCAAAGTAATCACTAGTCCAACCTCTATTAAGACTTGTATTGCTTGTTTTTGAACTTTTTGTCTGCCTTATTTCGCTTATCATAAGGCTTATGAATTTTATCCTGTTGTTGCATGCAGTTTGTTATTTTTTATTGCTATGAAGTATTCTGTTATATAAAATCCCACAATTTATTAAACCATTCACTATTGTTGCTATTAATATTCTTGTACCTGCTTTTGATGGACCCATGTTTCCATTTATTCCCAGCTTTATTGAGATATAATTGATGTAAGTATTCATTTCTGGAGTGGAATTTCTCCATAGGGTTTATGTAAGTTTAGATTTAGTAGATACTTTTTCCCAAAGTGGTCATACCAACTGATACTTCCATCAGCAATGTACGGGAGTTCCAGTGGGTCTAACAAGCTCCCTTAAAAGGGATTGCCAGTCCTTTTAACTTTAGCCATTCTAAGAGGTGTGCAGTGATATTTCATTATCTTAATGTTGTCTTCTAATGAATGTACAGTCTTAATTTTCATGAAGTCCAATTTATCTTTGTTTCTTTAATGGCAGAGTTTTTGATTCCTATTTAAAAAATCTTAGCCTACCCCATTCCTTTATAAATTGGTCTTACATATATGGCCATTTAAAACTCACAGTGGGCCATATTCATTTTGGAATTCTGCATTTAAAACACTATTCAGTACCCTCTAACCAGTTAAATATTAAGAATTAATAATTCAGCTTTTAAAACCTTATCATTATTGAGGTCAAGTTATCTGGATTTAATTCCCTTTTTGCTGATCACTTACTACTCTTCAATCATTTAATCTTCCTTTTTTTTTTTTTGGCGAATTTATCCATGATTTTGGTTTTTCTCAGATGGACCTGTGTCTGGGACCCTTTCCTCTGAAGGGTCTAAAAGCTGCTCATCATTCAAAATACCTTGGAAATCTTTAAATTCCCATAAAGGCTTTCTCAAGTAGAAGTAGTAGCTGGAGTGAGCTTTTAAAAGACAAATCAGATAATGTCACTTAATAATCCTGCAATAACATCCCAGTGCATTCAGAATAAATCTGTAAAAATAAAAAATAATTATATATTTAACTCACTAAACCTCACAACAACCTGTCAATATTGCTGATGAAGAAGTTGAAGCAGAGACGTAATTTAATTAACCCCACACACCTACTAGAGTCAGGATCTGAACCCACAGTTTTCCCCTGGGCTGCAACACTCGTCTCCACTTGCCCTGAGCTACAGAGCCCTGTATCATTTGTACCTCCTCACCTTTCAGCCAGACATTCAGTTCCTCAAGTCCATCAGGCTTCTTCCTGCTCGAGGCCTTAGTTTGGAACGCCTTTCCCTCCTCCACCTGACAAACGCCTACTTGGATCCATGAGGTCTCAGCACAAATACTGCTTTCTCAGGTAAACCTTTTAAGACTCTTCAATCTAAAATCTGATGTTCCCTCCTTGTTATTCTGTCACATTAACCCTAATATTTTCATTCTCAGAATTTATAATAACTCGTAGATTTTTCATGTTCATCTTCTGATTTTAGTTCCCAATTCCAACATATTAACACTCCATTTACATAGGGTAATTTTATTTTCTGGAAAGAAATTGTTCCTTAAGAACTTCAATAAATCAAAATCTTTATGATTTGAAAGAAATTTCTTATAGGAATAAAGGTGAAGTAGAGGAGATATATTCCCAGCACATATAATCATTGAAGCACATTTTTGTTTTAGTGCTTTTTCCCTCCAAGTTCTCTTCCCTACAGTGACAACAGAGCCATATTGCTTAGCTTTTTTTCACAGAGTCATATTACATTTAACTTCTTCTCAAAGTTATTGTTCTTCAGATGCATTTCCAGCATGCTATAGCAGCATTCAATTTATGGGCACTTAAATGACACTGTATGGGAAAATATTGTAAGTTATAGTAAGAAGGAATGATAAAAGAACAGAAGAGCCATTAAACCACTCTCAGAATTTCCCAAGCACGTAACCTATAGTGTTGCTCAGACAATATTGACGTAGGATGGTAACAATTTATGATCATCATGAAGGAAATGAGGAAATAGTATAAAGTTTCAATTCACTCTTCCAGTTTAAAAATTACATAATTCTTGGGCCAGCCCGAGTGGTGCATTGGTTAGGAGTTGACCTGGGCTGCCAGCTCTGAGCAGCAGGACCCCGGTTCAGATCCCACATGGGCCAGTGACGCTGTGCCCTCTACAGCTAAGATGGTGAACAACGGCTCGACCTGGAGCTGGGCTGCCATGAGTCGCCGGCAATGATGTAGGCTGCAGTGGGGCTGGCCAGCAGCATGAGCTGCTGTGAGCCACCATGAACGGCCGTCCAGTGCCTGGCAAGTGACTGCCTCAGCTGGGAACAGCACAATGATAATACCAACACGGGCCAATGAAGCAACATCCTCCACAACTAGACTGAACAAAAGGACAGCAACTTGTCTGTTCCCCTTCCCAGATTCCCCAATGCTGTTCCCCTCCTCCAATTCCCCAATAAAACCTTAAAAAAAAAAATTACGTAATTCTTAATGAACTTAATTTTTTTTACTTCAGCATAAAAAGACTTTAAAAATATTTTTACTTTCACATTATCATAAATCAAATGTACACCCAATGAGACTGCACATTGTCTCCTGTGCTGCTCACCGCACTGAGTCCAGTAGAGGGCAAGGTGGAAAAAGCCCGTCAGTGGGCCTTACATCCATAAGTAGCATGGAATGGATTTCCTTTCTGTAGTGGCTTCTGTCTCTATTTCAGGGTCTCCTGGTCTATTTCCTCATGTCTGTGGTCCCATTGTCCTGGTCCCTGACTCTCTGTACCGCCTCAGCTTAAACTATCTTGGAATTTTCAGGTTTATGGCCCCCTCCGAGGTTTGCCTTGCAGGTGTTTATGTTCTCCTCAGCTTGTCTGCTTACCTGCTTGTTGAATTCTCTCTCTCCATTGTAATGTCACACGTGAACTCGGCTTTTCTTGCAACTAATCCTTTTCCATTTATGTCAAGTTGTGATGCTACTTTTCCTGCTTTCCTCTTTCATCTCCATGATCAGCTATTACTTGAGTCCTTGTAGACCATTTTACTCATCATCCCACAATGTGCACTCACTCTTCTGTTTATGCTTCATTTAGTCACAGTAACTGCTCAACCAATAGCACTATTTGAAAATAGTGCTATTTTAAAAAATTGAATACATATTTTTGGATTAAAAATTTAGAGGTAAAGTACCACAGTATAGGCCAATAGTTCTTAACTAGGGGTAATTTTGCCCCTTAAGGGACACATTGCAACAACAACTGGAGTCATTTTTGGTCAGAAATGGAGAAGGGGGATGCTACTAGCATTTAGTGGGTAGAGGCCTGATATGTTGCTAAGCATCCTACCTGCACTGCAGAAGACAGACAGCCCTCCCACCCCCCAACAAAGAATTATCCAGTGTAATATGTCTGGTGCAGATGAAAAGATGTTGGGTTTGGATTTTGAAGTAGATTCAAATTTTTCTACTTTAGTATAAAAAGCAGTTTCATCATTCACTCTGTATGACCTTGGGAAAATACTTTACCTATTTGAATATTAATTTCCTCAACTCTAAAACAATGAGAAAAATCTCATGGCATTATTATGAGAACATGAGGTGATCTATCTGTGTGAAAATACCTATCACAATACCTGACAAAGAACAGGCATTCATACTTGTATAATTTTTAAAAGGAATAATTAACTTTGTATAAAATCTTATACAAAACTCAGGCATTTTACAAATACTTTGATGAAAAACAACTGCCTGTTTCTGCAGGTTTTTCATGAACTGCCAGACGTAAACTAGTTTTCCTAACCTTTATCCCTTACTGATAACATTGTTAAATCATTCTGAAAAAAAAAAAAAAGAGGCAGGTTTGGCTTGTTTTTACTGAATTAAAATAAATAAAGACAAAGCAAGTGTGAAAGGCAGAAGTATGTGCTACCTTGTCCTAAGTGCACATTTTCTGAAGGGCAGTGGTTGGTTTTACTTCCTGGTTTACTGCATCAATTAAACTGAATTTCTGACCTATGGGATTTGCCTTCTCTCTGAAGAACTTCTTTTTAACATTTCTTCAAGGCAGGTGTACTGATGAAAATTTCCTCAGTTTTTTTTTTGTTAGAGAAAGTCTTTATTTCTCCACTTCTGAAGGATAATTGCATTGGGTACAGAATTCTAGTTTGATGTCCCAAGTTGAAGCCTGACATTCAAGGAGCTCCAAAATTCGGTTCTACTTTTCTTTTCAGACCTCTTCCCACCTGCCTTATGAAATTTTTGTATTATTGCCAAACGTAAATATAAACTGTTCTTTGAAGATGCCCTCCCACTTTTCATATTTGATTTTGCTCACACTGTTGCCTCCAGCTGAATGCTCTCCCCCTATCCCTCCATGCACCCTACCATCACACAACATCTACATGAATTGCCACAATGCATGAGTTCATGAATTGTCATGACGATTGTTCATGACAATTTATGAACTCATACTCTATACCCTGCCCAAGGAGACACTTCTTCCTCTAAGCTCCCATACCCTTTCCATATCCCTTATATTCATCACTTTCTACTATCCTTTATAACTGTAGTATACTTGTTTTATCTTCCCTACTACAGTCTAATACTATTGAAGGAAGGGACCATGTTTTACTCTTGTTTCCTTCAAGGGCCTAACACAGTGGCTTCTCTACAGGAGGAATATAAAAAGTATTTATTGAACATCTGAGTTGAGATTTAAAGACAGGAGTAGGCATAATCAGAAGGGTGAAGGAAGAATTTCAGGCACAGGGGAGAACATATGCAAAGACTTTCCAAGAAGAGAAAGGATGGCTGAGGAGCTAAATGAAGCCCAGTTACACAAGTATTAATAATGTTCAGAGACCAGCACAAAAGTGGTTGGGCCAAGATCAAATAGGGCCTTTCTGGAACATGAGAAGGGTCTTATCTTAAGGCAAATGAGAAGCTATTGAAATATTTTAGAGAGGGTAACAAATTTCCCTTTTAAAAAATTGCTCTGGGGGGCTGGCGGAGTGGTGCGTTGGTTAAGAGTTGGCTTGGGACGCCAGAGGGCCCTGGTTCGGATCCCACATGAGGACCAGTGTCACTGCACCCTCTACAGCTAAGATGGTGAACAACAGCTCAACCTGGAGCTGGGCTGCCGTGAGTCGCCAGCAACAGCGTAGGCTGCAGCCCCTGCTGCAGTGGGCTCCCGTCAGCTCCATGAGTGGCTGGCAGCCAGCGTGAGCTGCCGTGAGCTGCTGTGAGATGGCCGGTGAGCGACTGCCTCACCGGGAAGAGCACAATGATCACAATACCAACATGGGCCAGTGAAGCGACGTCCTCCACAACTAGACTGAAGAACAAAAAGACAGCAACTTGTCTGTTCCCCTTCCCCGATTCCCCAATGCTGTTACCTCCCTCAGTTCCCCAATAAAATCTTTAAAAAAAAAATTGCTCGGCTGGGGGGATGTTCTGTGTATCTCCATTACCTGATAGGACAAACAGCCTCTAACTGGTCAGACTCAGCTTTGCTCTTTCTAGGGGTGGGACAGCTCTGACATTTCAAGGAAACATGGAACTATACTGAGGCTCAAATCTAGGAATTAAAATAAAGTTCCAGAGTTCACCTTTAAGTTACTTGGGCCAGATATACTGCTTATGAAGATGGTTTGTTTTGTTTTCTACCAGGGTTCTGACTCACTAAGTTCTAAAGATATTCCAGCCTGATCTTAAAGATGGGGTTTCTCTTTTTTTAATATTAATTTTATTGGGGAACAGCTATAGTAATTGATTACACATTGCTTTCATGCTACAATAGTTGACTCTTTTAGGGAGGGCACAGCTCACAGTGGCCTATGTGGGGATTGAACTGGCAACCTTGGTGTTATCAGCACCATGCTCTAAACAACTGAGCTTACTGGTCACCCCAAAGATGGGATTTGTCTTGGACTGAGTTGGGGATCACCTCATTTAGAATCATTGTGCTCGTTGTCATCACCTTCCCAACGTCACTTTGAGGCTCTACAATCTGCTCTGTCCACAACTGCTCCAATGATCTGGTTCTAAAGAAAAAAACACTTCAATCTTTATCTTATTTGACCTATCTGAAGCCAATTCTTTCTGGAAATGCTTTCTTTCCCTGCTTTCCATGAAAATGCATGCTGGCTTTCTGCTTCATCAACAGTATTTTCTTGATGCTTCTCAGTCTTCTTTGGTGCTTCTTTTCCTATGTCCCACCCTTAATTCCTGGTGTCTTTGCCTCTCCTTTTACTCACTCCCCCTTGATTTTAACCCACTTCCATGGCTTCGCTTCACCATCTACATTAGCTAATGACTTCTAACTCTAAAGTATTTCTCTCCAGCTGAGTTTTAAATCCTGAACACCAGCTATACATGACCACCTAGCAGACATCTCCACTTGAGAATCCTGCAAATATCTACAACTCAACATGTCTAAACTGAACACATGACCTCCTTTTATTCCCCTCTCCAAATCAGCCCTTTCTGTTCCTCCCTTCTCACTGGGCACCATCAGTGTTCAAGCCCCAAACCTATGCATCACCCTTGACATCTGTTTCTTACCACACAATCTAATGAGTCTTTTCGAATTAAACTTAATTCTCCCTTGTATCTTTTGTTCTTTCCAGATCCATTATCATTAATTTAGAGCCCCTGCTATTATTTTCCTAATTGGGTTACTGCAATAGTATGTTCACTTGTTCCTGGCTTTGAGAGAGTTTTCTAAAGCACACACATGAATGTGCCACTACCTGGATTACAGCTCTTCAATGACTCCTCACTGCTCCTAGGATGAAGTCCAAATTGCTTAGACATCAGTTACAAAGTTCTGCATGCCTCTCTTTCTAGCTCACTTCTCAGCGTTCACCTGTTTACCTCTAGCCTCCAGCCAGGGATGAACAACCAGGATGAACAATGACCCTATCTGCTTTTACTTTACTAGCTCTTATTCAGCCTTGAGATCTCAGCTTAGATAGGAGTTTTTCCAGAAACATGACCTGCTGTCCTGATTAGGAAATCCTCTCATGTGATCTCCAAGTCTCCTGACCATTCAACTGGATGGATGTCAAGCAATTGGGGTTTTTTGGTTTTTTTTTCCATTTGATGGCTATTGCCTAGAAAAGTATTTAATAAATACTTGTGGGCTTGATTATTGTTTTTTAGGCCTGCTTCATGTGGTTCTTTACATTTTTTTTTTAATGTCTTGATGGCTGACTAGATTTTTTGTGATTGGTATGAGCCCTGCAGAATATAAGCTGTGGATATCTAGTGCTGGCCTGTAGTTAACCACTGTGGCTTACAGGTTGATTGCTTTGTGGGCACTAAGAGTAATAAAAAGCCTAAGATTTCAAAAGGAAATGAAAAAAGTTAAAGTAAGCAGAAATAACTTCTACGAATTATTCTGTTCTGGAGGGGGATTTTAAATCGACTCTCATGACTATAGCATCATTGTGAATTTCAGTAGTTTTCCTAGAATACTAAAAACAAGTGCTACTGGAGGCCCCCCTGGTGGCTGAGTGAACATTTGCTTATACAAAATCCTTGAAAGGGGTCAGTCCTTGGCAACTATGTATATATGGTGCCAAGGACATAGTAAATGCTTGGGGATACAACAGTAAGCAAAGCATATCAAAATGTCTGATCTTGTAGAGGTGTTGCTCACCATTTTATCTTAAGTACTTGGAGAAAGTGCTTAATAAAAATTTGTGAATTAATGAATTAATCTGTCTTAAGGCCTGCTTCTAATCGAATCTGTCTGTGCTTCCTTACATCTTTGATGACCTTCTATTCTAGATGAGGTATTGCATGGCAGATCCACAGAGAAGCAAGACGGAGGGCTGTGACGACGTAATTCTCCTGGAGGTAACTTCTAGACCTCTCTTATTTTCCTTATTTCTCTGATTTTAAAATAATTTTATCATAACAGTGTAATCGCCAATATATATTAGGTTGTGAGATTTATAGTGAATAGAGTTATAAGAAATTATCTTTCATCATAATTTTGATGACTTTGGCGATGGTAATTATAGAGAAATGTTATTTATACACACCAGGATAAGTCCTTCATTTAAGCAAATTTCACATGTGCTCTGCACACCTTATTTAAAAGGAAGTCCGTTTATTATTTATTTTGTTATATATTTTCAGCAGTTTCTCTGTACAATATGTGAAATTTGAAGACTAGAATAAAATCAGCTAGCTTCTATCAGACTGCTTTATCTACATGTTTTAGGGATTATAAAGATAAAAGTAAGGTTACTGTTTCTTTGAGAGCTAACTACTCAGTAAAGCATTCATTTAGGTCTCTTCAAAAGGGAATACTTGGTTTATCAGCAGACTGATAACACTAAAACATGTTCTTGTATCACATTTATAGGCATCAGAATTCTTTCAAAAAATGTAGCTAATAATCAGGATGAATGTCATTTACTTTTGTTTTGGTCTCTAGGGCATACTGTTTACTTTGCTTTAAAATTTATGTGAGTCATTTTGGTTATATGCCTTTTTTAATTAGCTTGAAGGAAGCAATCACTGGGGAGAAAGCGGAAATCAATTCTGATCCGATATTGATAGCTACTGTGCTGTAAACTGTGTGTCCTTTCTAATTAAATGTAAACATGTTCAGTTCTAAAGTCCAGCAGCAATGACAACAGTCACTAGGAAAGATTGCCTAAGTACTGCTCAACTGATTTGCTGCCCTTTATTTCTTTCATAGTTGTGCTTGTGTAATCATTGCTGGAGTGAATGCTGGTTGTAACTGGCTTTTTTTAGGTCATCTTCAGAGAAAAGATTTGACAAGAATGTAAAGTGCTCTGTAATACCTCAAGTTACTTATTAACTATGTCCTTCTGATAGCTAATCAATGGCATTGCACAGAGTCAAATTTGTTGCACTAAACTCCCCCCCCCCCCCCTGCCCAAAGCGAAGTCTTGGTAAATATTTAATGGCAGTAAAGGTGTTTTGCTAGTTATCAAACTGATATGTTAAAGGACTCTTAAAAGCAACTTTATCTTTCTTTCCCTTCCATAAATAATTCGCTCAACAATATAGTGTGTAGGTATAAAAGCATTTGGGTTTCATTTTATTGAGTAGCTTATTCAGAAAGAGACCAAATAAGAATATTAAAAAATGCTCATTTTAGTCAGTACTATGTCACTTAAACATAAGAGGGAAAAACTAACTACCACCCAATTTCTCTCCTTGGTGAAATGCCAACTCAAAGCATAAAGCAGCCTAGCCCTTTTCACTTCACTAAACCCAACACCAAGCTTGTTTAAAAGTTGTTGTACAGTTGCTGTCATAAGGAAATGTTTATAGTTTCTGCTATTGTTGCCACACACTCTGTAAAATCTGAAGACATTTGGATTTTTGCTTTTTATTCAACAGTAAAGGCTGGGGTTTACTATATTTTTACCTTTTTAATTATCTATTAAGTTTTAGGCTCCCTTGTTTTACTTAAGCTAACTCCTGGCTAGGCACACAAAAAAATGATAGCTTTGATTTTTAAATAAGAAAGAAATCTCTTCAGACTTAAGTTTTATGAGAATACTGATAATTACTAGGATTTTTCTAGAAATGAAGCTGATTTCTTTAAATTTACATTTATTTCATGCTTACAGATTTTAAAGGATGTTAACACTGTTTTTAAAATTCTGGCATATACCTCTGTCTAAAAATTTAATACTAAATTCTGACTGACTTATGAAAAATGAATTTTAATAGCCTAACTATAGGAAGTCATAAATTATTTCCTAAGTATCAAATAAGAGCTGGTGACTCAAAGCATTGTACTGTATTAATGATTCTTCAAGATACAGCCTACATCAAAAGAATTGATGACAAAAAAGTGTGAGGGTAAAAAAGTTACAATTAAGTTTTCAGAGTGGAAAAATATTACAAATGTGCCTGATTTGAGGTGAAAATGCTGGGTTTTGCAATACTGGGATGATCTGTTTACTTCACTTTGTGGTGATCTGAAAGGAATGTTAATATTTTTTTTGTTGTTTGACAAAGCTGGTGTATAAAAGAGAAATAGCTTCTTGCTATCAGTGACATATGAAGTTAACTTTGAAGATATTACTGATGGTGCATATGCTATAAGGACAAAATTTCTGAATTTTTTCTAAAATCGTAAGAGTTAATAATATGAAGCTGTATACTATGAGAGATCAAGGTACCATGCTCCAACTTTAAAAGGAGACTCATTTTGTACAGTGCTGATCTCAGTATGTCAAAGTTTGGAAAGGTGTCATGCAATATGAATGTTTTTAAATTAGTATTTCTGCTTTTGTCTCTTGAAAACATGTCTATGCTGATTTTGATCTCTGAAGTGTTATGTGATACAATGATATTCCTTACTTCTCAAATATTGGCCAGGGTCCCAGGTCAGATCAGAACTAGGGGCCAGCCGGCAGGTACATGTCTGGTCACAAAAATCTCTTTGGAATAAATTTTAAAATACGGTGCTAGTTAACTCATGGTACATAGGTAACCAATTACTCTTGTGAATGGGGAAAACGTACACTGGGTGTACTGGTGCTGAAAGACACAGGACCTCAGCTAGAAATTGAAAGCATTTTGTGTTTCTGGCACTGAAACACAATTGCATTTTATAATGTACAATGACAAATTGCATCAACCACACTTTACCAGCCAGCTAACTTCTGAAACCAAGGATGATGTGGTGTGATGCCATAGGTGATTTAGTTCTAAACCATTTAATACGTTTCCTCAGAAACTGTCTGGTTTGGAAAATTTCAAAAGACAAGCAGAAGCAGCTATGGGAGTGCACAAGAGGGGTGCCTAACCCAGATTGTGGGATGGGAGTAGAGGGGGTCTCTTGGAACACATGATGACTAAGCTGAGTCTTGAAAAAGAAGTAGGAGTTGCTCAAACAAGGATAAATAAAGGGTATTCTGGCTAAAGAAGGTCGTGTGTATCAGCATGGTGGTATGAGAAAAATTTTGCAGAAAATATTTAACTTCTTATGGGCTTGCAAATATGGCTAGTCCTAAAACAGAAACCTTCAGATTTTTGTAAAGTGTTGGTGGTGAGATTATCTGAAGAGGGGAACAGGGTGTTCTCTTCCCAGTAATCTCTGAAACCAAGGTAGAGAATGACCAGTGCTCTGATAGCTGGGAGGCCAACATGTGCATACTCCTGGGTCTGGTTGAGGACATGCTCATTTTCACTGTCATCAACTCATTCATGTGACAAATATTTACAGAACATCTACTTTGTGCTAGGCACTATTCTAGGCACTAGGGACAGAACAATGAATGAAACAGACCAAGATCCCTACTCTCGCAGCACGCTGAGAAACAAAGGGTATCCAGCTTTGGCAAAGACCCACCTGGCAAGTAAGGTCCCTTTCTGGAGACCTCACCTACAGCCCTAGTCCAAGAGGCTCTAATCTCCCACTTATTTTCTACTCTACTTTCTACATCCAGACTCCCAGATACCATTCTTTGGTTGTTATAACTAATACTTTATTTCAAATTTTATATTTTTGCGATGAGCCCTCTCTTTATATGTATCTCTGAAATAAATGTTCTGTCCATGAACTATATATTGCTATAACATATCCTTTTTAATAGTAAAGATATATCTGAATGTTATGCAAATACCAAAAATCTATTTGCTACAATTTTTGAGAACTATTCAATTGTAAAAATCATTCCTTGAAGGTAGCCTATAAAGTGAGTTTTCATATATCTGCTTATTTTCCAAAAGATTTGACAATTTATGAGAAAAAAACATTAGGATGAATGGAAATATTCTGATACTAAAAAAAGGTCTTAAATCATAAATATGAGATTTTGTAATACTTCAATGTCTCCATCTATATTCTGGTAATCACTGACCATAAGAAGTTTACTTCTGGGATTGATAAATACAGCTACTATATCTCTTTGAAGCAAGTAAATTATCAAAACAAAAGCAACCAATGTAACAAACTAACAGCTAAATGATATACCAAAGATGGAAGTTTTTTCTTTTTTTTTGGTCCTTATAGCCTAATATTTAACTAGTTTTGAATTAAAATAGTGGATTAGAGCAAGATAACACTGCTGAAGAGCTTTCTGTTACAAAGAATGTTAGGCTCCTTCCAATAAGCAAGACTGTACTGCCTTTATCAGAAAAATGCATAACTACAACATGCATATTTTTCATTTAATAAGTTCCTATTACAGATATGTAGAGAACTTAACCATGATGCAAGTATAAATTGGTCCCAACTATACTTTGTTCTTCACTAGGAGAATACACTAGGGACAAATATCAGTCAGCTATATTTAGTTAGGTGGGGGAATATACATCTCATCCTGTTCAGTACTCAAGAAGATATCTGCTAATTGAAAGACAGATTCAAGCAGGCAACAATGTAAAAGATGACTGATTTGGAGGGGAAAGGACGGAAAGCTGGTCTTCGGTTTATTTTTATTCTGTTTGTTTCTGCTATGGGTATGATGAATTCACAAATAAAAAGCTGCCAATATTAATGTAAGGTAGACGAGACCTACATTTCCATCTATATGATATTAATGAGACAGGGCTTCTACAATAACATTGTCAGCATATACTACTTTTTTTGGGTAACTTATTGAAGCACACTGCAAAACAGAATAGCAAATGATTATTTTAATGAGAAAATGACATATAAATGAAATAAATGCAAAGATGAATTGGTAAACATGAATTTTCCAAATTTGAGCTATTAAGCAGATCATTGATAACACAAACAAATTTTAAAAATTAAAAACGAAGTTTTCATAAATAAGACAATTTCTAAAAGTGCACACATTTCAAAAATATCTGAGTGCCTATAATGTCCCAAACACATTATTAGCTCTAGTGTTATA